TAAAACGTTGGCATCCAACAATGTCCACCCCTCCTCGCTGATGAGGTCCTCGCTCAATGCAGGCTTCGAGTGCAAATGACAGCATTGCAAACATCAAGAAGCCAAACATCAAAATGAAAGCGCCATCTGTTGAACCCGTCCTGCGCGGACGTCTTTAGAGTTCGGTCAGTGCCCAGATCCATTGCAGACTGCAGTTCTGCAATGGGTGCTTTGTCTGTCCGAAGGCTCAAAGCTGAAATGAGGACTTCACAACCTTTGCCTGGAAATTGGCCTAGCTCAGTTGTGAGCCGCCTGAAAGCCAAAACGGCATTCCCTGCATGGAAGCCTCATAACACCTTTCACAAGCAAGCATCACAGAAAGGGCACACTCGCACACATGGATAGCCGCATGGTTGCTTGCATGCTTGTGCTATCTGTCAACCGTTGATTCACGCGTCTGAAACCACATGAATGAATGAAGGAACGAAGGAAGCAATGAAGGAATGAATCAAGGAATGAATGCGTGGATCAAGGAATGAATGAATGAATGAATGAATGAATGAATGAATGAATGAATGAATAAATGAATGAATGAATGAATGAATGAAAGAACGAACAAACGAACGAAGGAATGAACAAATAAATAAATAAATAAATAAATAAATGAATGAACGAAGGAACCTGTAATGACCTGTATATACATGTATACACACATATACACACCTGATAAAGTGGTCTTCGTGTGTTTTGTCCGTGGCTCATATATATATATATATATATATCACCTGTGTGTCCGCATTTGCTGTAGGGACCTGTTGGCTGGCAAGTGTGTATTTTGCAGCCTGGAACATCATACATAGAGTTAGGCATGTTAGGAATGCGTCTCAAGCCGCAGATGGAAGGCGGCCACCACCAGTTCTTTGCGCTTCACTGTGGTTGGAGGCTGGTTTTGCCTCACAAAACGACCTGCAATGTGGAGGGCCTGCCCCAGGCATCTCACCAACATGCAAACCTGCCCAGTGGAGGCGCCCGGCAACTTGTTTGCAAGGTGCTCAGCGGCAACACAGGCTGAGCGCAGTGCTAAGACTGCATGCGGGCATGTCAGATGCCACCAGCAGAACGCATGCCAGAAGGCAAATCAGAATGCAAAATTCTGAACTCTGGCAAGATCTAGGGCACACGGATTCCATGCTTCTGCCATGCACATGAACCTTGGCCGGCTGCCAGCCCTGAGGGCCTAGCCGTTGAAGTAGATGAACACAGTGGAAGGCCGCATGGAGCCGTCCTGAACGCCACATTGAGCTCATCTCCAGAGTCTTTACTTGCGTGAGATAGCTAGGGAATGAGACATGACCCCGAGAACAAACCATCCCTCTGCGCCTCTGGTGGCTTCCTTGATTCAGAAATCCCAAATTCTCATTCCCTGAGCACCAGCAGGTTTATCATTGTTCATTGTACTTGCCTCGACGCCTGCTTGAAATGATGGCACGCTTTGAGGAAAAGAACTAAGGTTTTAACTTAATAACAGCATCAAAAGCTCCAAAACATTCCGACTCTGAAGGAACTATTTCAACTTCTTGCTGTCAGGCTGCGTGGTGCAGATGGAAGTACTGCCCCGGCCTGCAGTTGCTATCCAACAAACACTCCTTTGTCGTGGGCCAAAGAGGTGTTTAGGGAGCCCTGCGCAAACACAGCATATACTTCAGGGCTTAGGGTTCGTGGCAGGTGGAGCTTGCAAGCCCACCTGCAAGGTCGGAGTGTTTCCTATGCGGCGATACTTGAGATTGTGACTCAACCAAGCTGACACCCATGCTTTTCCCTCAACCTGCACTCAGCTCCTCACTCATAGCGAAGCGCTACCAAGGGCTCCACCTCCAGATTAGATCTTCATGTGGCCATGAAGTCGGGAAAGGGGGGGGGTCATATGGCCATGGGTCAAAACCAATGGTACCATTTTGGGGTAGGTGCACCACCCATTTTAGTTCATTTTAGTGGGGATGGGGATGTTCACTGGAGGTACAGGGTCTTGACCCTTGCCCACATGCGTTATTCCCAGATCCACCCCCCAGGAAATGTGTGAAGCGCATTGCCCGCCAAAGCCTGTGAAAGCTTCGTACCTGTCACAGCGGCCACTCTCGCAGCTATCCGTTCCTTGGCCAGGCACCAAGACCGGCAACCGTGCGGGAGCAGCAGTGAACTCAGTGGGCATGGCCACAAGGTCAATTGCAGCCAGGCGGCTGTTACAATGGTCTCGTTCCACTGCAGGTGGACCTTTGCCGGCTCAAGATGGGTTGGAATCGAGCGCGCATCTCCATTGGCTCAGGCATCTGGCCAAGCTCAACCAATGGCTGTTTGCAGCTTCCAGGCAGACACTCGCATGACATGAGCATCGCTTGGCGTGCATTGACATGCTTGATGGAGTGGTGAAACTGCGTTCCACAATATGTGCCTTGAGCACCAAAAATGAAGCATCTCCAAGCGAACTAGGGCAACCCCCGAGCTCAAGCGCCCGGAAATGCCACTGATTGAACTGTAAGGCGGGTGTGGGTCCACCAGACCAGCAACTACCATTGAGCTCCTCTGGATGCTGGCTAGACGCACTGCTTGATGTGCGTGTGTCGCCATAGCCCTCCTCCTTGGCGTGGCTGGTTCAGCCAAAGAATATCTTCGAAACCGTTTTGCCTGAGGCTGTAGGTTGGCAGAAGTGGGACGCTTCAAGGGCCCTCGATTCATGTCAATGGTGCGTGGCCGGTGCATCAGCCCAGGTGAAGCAAAACTCTGCCAGATGTTGATGGGGCTGAAAAAATATGTGCGGCAAATGGAGATCCCGATCCAAACGTCGTACCAGCAACCAGCCATCAGACTGCGCTTGGGCTCCCGGACTCCAACGGGGTGGTCTGTGGAGCCAGTGTTGCGCCCATGGAGGTCCGTAGCCTTCGGACACCCTCTGCCTTCTTGGCCGCGCATTTTGGGCAGCGGTGCGTTTACACTTGTCTGCATTGCACACTTACTCATCGGGCACGGCCGCCCGCATCTTCCCTCAGCCCTGGTAGACTTTCCCTTTTGAACATCCAGAAGCCCTCGGAGACTAAACCAGGTGCCCACTGGCCTTCCCCTTGGACACCTTTGAGCGCTCCTGCCAAGTGCAATGGTATGGTCATGAGGCTGAGCAGCTGTGCACTTGCAGAAAGCCCTGGTTTGGGCAAGTTGGAACTGAAGTTCTGCTCAACCTTGCCAGTGAGATTTCAAGAACTTGCCGGGGATCCCAACCAAACTTGGCCCAGAAACAGGCGTGCCACTTGACCCCCAGCTCGTTTTTGTGTTGAAACCTGAGCCACTCATTTGGAGCGACATCAACAGGCGGCTCTGGCGCACCCACCGGCCCTCGCAAAGCTGCAAGATGTGGTCAACCTCCGGTAGGGCAAACGACCCCAGTGTTGCCCATACCCGTCTGCTGGTGCGATAAGAGTGGGAAGCAAGAACTAATTCGCTGAGTGCGGAAAAAGGAAATGGAATGCTGAAACAGCCCTGCTTCTAAGGTATGCTCCTGACTTTTTTGTGAAGCCTCCAAAATTACCACAAGCTCCAAAAACGGACCTTCTTCGATGGAGGCATATGCTTTGCTCCTCTTGGTGCCGAGCTACCCAACCAGGTTACACTCTGAGCCGCACCCGCCTCCTCCTGCGAAATGAAGTGCTCAAAGAGTGTCACTTCAGGATCCTGCACGTGCACAGAGCAAGATCCACTCCATCGCACCTGTCTAAGGCCGGACCTTCGGAGCCCCAAGTCTCAAGGCCAAATGGGCTGGGCCAGATGGGTATGTGCAGTATGGGGCAAAATTAAACCAGGACCGCAGGTTTTAGCCCTTTCCATTTAACAGGGTTCCACTTATGGAACCTATTTTTGACCCACAGCCAGATCAGCTTCAATCCGCCGGTGCAGAAGCAACTCGACTCCTCGTGCACCGCGGATGCCAGAATCTTGCCAGGACCAGGCACCTCCTCGCCCTTGCCTGGAGGTGCTGACATGCCCTTGCCTTGAAGGGCTGACACGCAATGCGCGTCAAGTGCTTAGCCGGACAAAAGATAGCGTCCCAGTGTTTGCCACCCCTAAATGGAGCTGGTCCGTGATGTAGTGAAGCAAACCCATGGTGGAATCAATCAAGCTTCAGCTAGGATTCTCTCTCACTCTCCCCCTCTCGCTCTCTCTCTCTCTCTCTCGTTTGCATTTTCTCGCTGTGGTGCTCAACCACTGGAACAAGTTGCTGAAAAGCACTGAAAAGCCATTGGCATGAACCAGGCTGCTTCCCTCCACTGAAAACATTCACCAAGGCTCAGGCAAACAGCCTGCTCTTCGGGTGGAGCCTCGTTGCATTCAACGCAGGCCGTGTGCCACGCATAAGCTGGTGGTTATTAAGACTTGGACGGATTGGAGGCCAAACAGCAAGATCCCAGTTGTGGGGAACTAGACATGTTTCAGTGTTTGAAGGCTGGTTTTCTTGGTTCCCTCCCGAAAATTGCCCATGTTGGCTTGCAGAACATTGGGTTAGATGTAAGCGTAAGTTCGACGAGCCCAAGGCAACGTGCTTGGGCGCGGGCCATGTGGAAAAATGGGGTTCAGCCACTTGGACTAACGGATGCGGACCCTCTGGAATGACAGGGCCATGGGAAATTGGACTGACTCACTGCAACTTGTGTGGAACCAGCGGTGAAACTCGGGGTCCAGGTCCGCTTTCTCGGATTCGCATTCAACGCATGTGCTTGATCTTTGCTGACAAACAACTCCCGGGTGCTTGCTAGAGCCGCAGCAGCTACAGAGCTACACCCGTGTCGCACAAGAATGCCAAGCTGGACGGGTATCCGATATCCAACAAGGGCTGGGGTCCATCTGCTTGACCGAATCTCCGTCCAGTCTCGGCCGTTGGGTGCAACCCCCCGACTCAACCAGGTTTGACATCAATATGAGTCAGCCGATGTGGCTGCACACGAAGCATGAGAGCCCTTGCGCCAGGCAAGGCGCACCCAGTCTTGAAGGGGAAGACCGCCATCTGCACCTACCGACTCTGCGACTGTCACCCTACAAATATGCATGCACTCCAAATCCTGGTAGGTGTAGACGTTTTCTGAATGCCACCAGCCACGTGCCATTGCTTGAACTGTTGTGGTTTCTTGCTGGTTTGCAAGCCGGACCACATGGAGTACTTGAGACGCTAGCATCTCCGCAAGGGCTATGTCGGCTTACTTTTAGGAGTTGAGAGGAGAGGAGAGGAACTGCGCGAGAAGAAAGAACAACAGCCAAAGCGTCGGAACAACCCTGCATCCTCCGGGCAAAAAGCGATTTCAAGAAACAATGCGCAAAGCACACGGCTAGTGCATAAGTTTTGGAGCGCGGAACAGTATGGAGGAAAGTTGAGGAAAGAGCGAAGCGAACGGCGAAGAGAAGAGTGGGCAGCAAAGCGAAGACAAGAGCTGAGGGTAGATTGCAAAGAGAAGAGCGCAGGGAAGAGTGGGCAGAAGAGCGGAGAGAGGAGCGGAGCCAATGGTGGGGAGAACAGCGGGGGAAGAGCGGAGCGAAGGGTGGGGAGCCTTGCGGGCAGTCCAGGATTTGGGGGGGGGGGGGGGGGCACAATTCGGAGGTGCCCGCAAAGGAAAAGTCGATCTTCCGAAGCCACATTGCTTGGACCGCAGTCAGCGCTCGAAAATTGCTACATCTCGGAGTTGTGTGATTCACTGGCCCCTGCTAAGCACAAGGGACTCCGCAACAGACATGCAAATGAAGCCTGCAGCGGCACCATTCTCCGCGCCATCCGGCTCCAAGTCCTCACGTCCCAGGGACACAGTCCTCGGCTGACCAATGCGGATTGCCTTCGAGAGCTCCAGCTGCCATCGAGCGGCCAATTCGGCGGCTTCCACAGCACCGCCACATCTGGCGCGAAAAAAAGAACCAAAAAAAAAACGCGGCAAAGACCGGTGGAAAAAGTATGGCAACCGCCCGAAACCTTCCGAACTCCGCATCTTCGCCCTTCTAGGGGCGTTTGTCAAGCCCCCCCCCCCTTCCCCCGAGCCCGCTGCCCGCCTCCGTCGCCGAGGTAACCAAGGACGCGCGGCTGATCCCACGACACCTGAGGCGAGCGAAGTCCCTGCCCGTGCCGACATCATCCACATGCAGCGGAGACCCTTAGTCCGAAAACAACTTGGCTGAAGCTTGCTCCACTCATAAAACTGGGCCAGAACGTCGAAAGTCCAGGCATCTGAGTATATGCAGCAGTGGACTCAGAACCAAGCCTTCTGAACCACTGCCTTTCCCCGCCTCGCCCTCGCTACGTGCCGGCAAGGGCACAAAAGTGCTCTCATCCAGCCTCGAAAGAAATGGATTGAATGCTTCTTCCCCAAATGAACGCTCAAAGCACTGTAAGCTCCGAGGACAAGCGGGGGGAGGAGCGGTGACAACAATGGTCAATCCCCAAAATAAGTCTAAGAAGCTAAGAAATTCCCGGCCTCGAAAAATAGGAAGGCCTCGCTTCCAAGCCCAAGGTTCACAGAACGAGGTTCGGGACCAAGTCGGGCGCCTTGCAGCTGTCCGCCGCAGCAACCTCCTCATCTCAGCGTAGGCCTGGCCAGGACTCCCGGCACTGCCCGGCATGGCTGACAAACCAAGCGATCGCAGACACGTTAGGTCTGAGGATGACACCGGGACGTGTCAACATGTTCGTGCCTATCTTGCAACAAGCCCACCTAGTGAGTTGATTGAAAACATACCCAAAATGCTGGCAAACACCTCCACATGTGAAACTGATCTCCGACCAGAGCCGACCAAGCGATTGAAGCTCGTGAAAAAACAGCACCAACAATTTCGGCAGCCAAAAGGAAAAACACACACCCCACACGAGCCGCAAGGGCCCCCCATGAACTGTTTTGAGGCCCACCAAAGAACATCCTTCCCAAAACACGAGCTTGGCACGAGGAAACCCGAGACAAAGTGGTGCTACCGCAGCATCCCCATTTTCCCAGATTCTCATCATGAAAAGGGCACCGTTTCCGCCCCACCCGAATCTTTGCGCCACCAACCTTCCCCCGCAAAACCAATAATCAAACCGATAAACCCCATGGAGCCTGGTGCTTCCTTACAATGCACTTCCAGACTCAGTGAGCATCTTCCACTCACTTCCCGTGCCAAGCGGAAGTGCGTCGACGCCTCCAAGGACAACACCCCGGATACCGTGAGGGCATGCGAGAGGCTGAGAATGTCCTGCACCAGCAGCACATCCGCGGACTGTTGGATGACAAGCGCCGAGCCAAATCCGGCGCTCGACAGCTCTCGGTGATTTGCTCATGAAGCTCGACGAGGGTTGAGGTGACTTCTGAACATGAAGTCCCGGGGCCACTGGCCAGAGGTGCAAGGAGGCGGATTGTCTGTGGCAGTCAATTCTCCCACTCTCCCTCGGCAGATTGTCTCCTTGGCGGAGGGCTCATCAGAGCTGACCTCAGCCAATTGAAGATGCAGTGGCAAAGTTCCTACGCAAAGGCTTCTCAGGATCCATGCTAAAAAGTTGCCAATTGCCACCCCCACTCGGCAGATCATGAAGGCTGAGCTTGCCCGGTGTAACATGCCCAAGTCTTTCGCCGATTCACCATGTCCAGAAAGCTGCAGCCTCGGATGCTGCACGGCTGGCGCAAGGTCAATGCAATAAGAATGCCGGACGCACTTGAAGGCCTATGCCTGGAAACATGCAGAGTCACCACGTGCTTTGTGAGCAGAGTGGACAAATAGCCCAGCGCACGCAGCCAAGAGCAGCTGACCTTCTATTTGTTTACGCAACCCACTGTCCGGTGTGCCTCCGCATCCCTCAAACCCCTAGCAAGCAATCAAGGGCCAGACTTCTGCAGCACGATGTCGGCAGCTGTCCTGCACTTCCGGCATACTGCCAAGATCTACCAGGTCTCTTCGAGAACGAAGCTGCCAGCGACGGCTTGGAGCTTGACGCATCTTTCCATGTGGTGTCACTTGTGAGCGACTTCCTTTGGTGGAACATCCCTCTATCTGCAAATTGCTCACATTTGGCCGACTCAAACTCAAGAGGCTCGATAGAAATTGCCGATGTGGCTTTGACATGTTGCACTTTACAGGCCAACTCCGTTCCTGAGGCCATTTGTTCAGCGGTGACTTTTTAGGATGTTACCCAGGAGAGAGGGGAGCCATGCTACCTCGTTTCTTGGGAAGCTGAGCACCTTGAATTCAAAGGATGGAACGTTTTCGCATGTTAGCCAGCATTGGGAAAAGGGACAAAGCAAGAATGTCATTGCTCCAGAATTGCCCAGCGTACCCGCCCCGTGCATTGCGCAGCCGCTTTCCCTGCAAAGATTCCATGCATCCGCCAAGGGGGCGCCACAATTCTGTGAACCCCCTGGGCCCTACAAGCTGAGTGGGTCTGGTCATCTACCAGTCCCACCAATTGCATCCATGTCGATTCGAAGCCCATCACCAAACTGGCAGGTTCTCGGGCAGCACCTGGCAGGCCGCTGTTGATCATGGCGTCACGGGTGGCTTCAGCTTCAGATGTCACAAATGTTCCGTCTGTGAGCCAGGCTCATTTTTAACAGGTGCTATGCCACAGTCCGCCTCTGCATCCAGAGGCTGCTTCTTGTGGCGCACGGGCGAGCAAAGATTCCTTGCACCGGTCTGGAGAGGCTTCCGTTTGCTATCCATACTTCCTTGAAGCTACTGACACGATTGTCGTGTTTGCCCCCCCGAGGGTGAGGGGTGCATTTTGCAGCCTGAACAGCTGGCCCCTGTCTCCAGAAAGAAGGGTGGCTCAAGAACCGCAATCGGCCCTAACAAGCATAACTTGTGCTCACTGAGTTTTGGGGTGGTTAAACATCGGCAGGAGGATCTGTATTCTGGAATGCCGCAGCCGAGCTGCTGCAATGACTGCAAGGGATGCCGATGTTGGGTCCTCGGCAAAGCTTGCCCATCCCAAGGCATCCGAAGCTGGACAAGACTGGAGATAGGTCATAGTCCAAGTTTGGTCAATTTGCGGAGGTCCTTCTCAGCCGTAAAGAGTTAGTCAGCTGAATGCACCCGACAGCCATTGCTTGGGAAGATTGAGACTTGCGGCAAGGCCGACGGTGACATCTTGTCAGAACAGTTGAGGGACCTGCTTGCCGCAACTACTTGCTGATTCCACCAAAACTTTGCTCGCTGGTGCTCAGCAAAAAATGAGACTTGGAACAACCCACCCCCCAAAAAAAAACAACACTGGCGGTTTCTTGGAAAATTCCCTGGGTTCATTCCAATTCGGATTTTCCCCCCCTATCGCACCAGCAAAACTTTGGGACTGCCGTGCCGGGCCTCTCGGTGCCTTCCGTGAAGCTGGCGCGGAGGTTCTCCAGCTGCTCGGCCAGCTTCGACAGCTCCAGCTCCAGGTCGCCGGACTTGGCCCGCCACTCCTGGCCGCAGTGGAAACGCGAGGGAATATCAAGACCCCAGAGGGAAAAGAAGCTTGGCTCAAAGCATTCGCATTATATGCAACAAATATATATTTCTATATAAATATATATATATATATGAGTGCATGTGGTCCAGCCCTCCTTCGCCCCTGTGGAATGGCGGGGGCTGGTTGGACTTCGCTTAGGGCTGGCTTTCGGTTGGCTCAGGGTTTGCAAAGGGAAAATGGCATTGGGCTGTCACGTTTTTGTCCAAGAACGACGCTGTATTCCAAGCACCTGACCCGAGCACCCGCGCTGGAAGACAAACTCGTCTCGCAAGGTCGCCCAACAATAAGCTGACTAAGTCTTGATTAGCCCTCAAGTACAAATATTCTTAATGTTGTTCACGCAGCTGACATAACCAATGCCGGACATACCGACGTTCTATGACAAGACGCAGTGTTCCTAGTCCTCGGTTCCTACAGCATCTCCTTTCTCATGATCACTAAACACACATGTATCTTGGTGGGGGTTCTGGCTGCCGGGTGTTAGCATGGCAACGCAACCCGAGCGCAAGCATGGGCGCACGTGCTTTTGCGTCCGGAGCTTTTTGGCTTTGCCAACGACACACGTGCTCGCGAGCAAAAAAAAGTGTGGCTCGCAGCTACCAGTACGCATGAACATTCATGTCAAAGATGTCGCGGCTCTTCCAATGGTTTATGACTCATGATGCTTTGCCTTCCTTCAGTGATATGAGAAGGTGAAATTCGCGAAGGGGAAGGTTCTCGTCAATACGTATCCCTGTCCATGAGGGACACTAAGTCCAGCTCAAGAATGGTCACTCAAGATCGGGCAAGCGAAAAAGAATTACAATTATTTGCCTCACTATCTACCATATTATTTACGGACTCTTTCTATTAAGGGCCAGGCCAACCAGAAAGCTTGATTTATTTACGTGATTGGTTACGTTTTATTTTCGGGTACGGCGAAAACAACAGAACCCCCTATTTATAGAGGCTAAGTTTTGGTTTAACAATTAGTGCCTTACGAAAGGAAACAAATGAGTTTGCTTTGGAAGCCCACGCCCGCTGTTTGCCACGGGCTGCTGCGCAGGCTTCGCCCCCCCCCCCCATGACCCCCCCCCCCCCGCCAAATCTCCCCTGCCTGCGCTTCCCTCTGGGTGCTGCGCAGCTCACACAAGGCACGCTCCTGCTCTTGGAGCATCAAATCGTCCGCCTTACGAAAAGCCGGTGCTGGGGGGGTGGTCAGGCCCATGTTCCAATCAACTTACAGCAATGAATTGCTATCCTTTGTTGGGAGTGGAGTTGCCAAGCAGGGTCAAAAGAAGTGCGGCCAAAGCAAATCTATCCTTCACACTTCTCTGTTGCATGTCAGCTGGTGGTACCTTCTTCATGGAACTGGCTGGTGGTATAGGTTTGGCGGCAAGTGCCGGAGAGGCTGACGGAGGTCAAACTAACAGGCAAATCCAAAGCAGCAGCTACGACCGAAGAAATGTGGGTATCGCAACCCTGCAAGCAACCAAACTGGGAAACATAAACTTGTAAGTCCGTTGCACAAAAGCACAAGCTTACCATACATGCACAACGACCAAGTCAGTAAACATCCAAGCATAAGCTACGACAGGTCAACGCAGAGCATGGCACGGCTGAACCCGGGCACAACCCGTTGAATTCCCGAGCAATATTAGAACAAAACCAGGGCCCAAAAGCAGACATGGTCGGCCAGACTAGTTTGTGCTCGTGTCCCATTTGGGCGGCATAGCTGTGCCGCGCCAATGCGCTGAGTGGATTCGAACTCCGGAGATCAGAGGTCTGTCGGTCTCTGTAGGGATCGCTTAGGATTGGGCGGATTGGGCGGAAAAATTGCAGAGGCTGCACAAGGATGAGCACAAACACAACCAAAATCACAACCATGGCCAGGACGAGGAAAACAACGGCAACCGCCATCGGCATCACCACAACCACCACAACCGCAACCCCAAACCGTAACAACCGACACAATAAGGAAGAAACCAGCAAGTCACCCAGCCTGCAAACGAAGCAAACAAATACAGAAGCAAACAAGCTAACAAGAGACCGAAACAAATACGTCAACAGCAAAAAGCTAACACCAACACCACCATGGCGACAGCAGCACCTGCAGCTTCTGGAGCATATTGGAGTGTTCTACCCCAACCTCCCCCGCCCGTCACGCCTCGCGCTGCCTCTCCAAATCCCGCACTGCCGAAGCTTCCACCTCGGTCTTCTTCTATTCTTGGCGCTTGCCTCTTGGGCATAATCGAAACAATCAGGTCCAACGCAGCTTCTAAAAGCAAAGATTCGCCCCAACCCCTCGAAAAGCCCGAAGTGACACGCAACCCGACCTCGGCCATCAGCGACTCCATCTCCTCCTCCAAGTCTTGCTCCGCCTTCTGCGCCCTCCGCAAGGCCTCCGCAAAACGCGCGGAGAGCGCGTGTTGACCTGCGCTGTGCCGTGGATCGTGGCCAAGCAGGAGAGCGAAGACTTGGGTGGGATTGATGGACGTCGTGTCACGTAGTTTCATACAGCTGACTCGGGGAAAAATATGTGAAGCATCCAGGCATCCACTTAATTAATGACAAGACAAAGTGATGATGACAAAACCTCAGGGAAGATTTGCGAATTTCACCCTGAGAAAGAGAGGTAGCGAGAGAGCGAGCGAGAGAGAGACCAACAGCAAGTGGGGCCCTCAGCAGATCAGCACAGAAGAGGCCAAGGATCACGTTTGCACTTTTGCACCTTTGGCAAATGGTACCATGACTCGCTTCTCCACTAGGCCACTGCCTGGTCTCTCTCCTCCTGCACGACGGCCAACTCCGCAACGGAGGCCTTGGCCGTGGCAATGTGCAGGAGGCATTGCAAGCGGAGAAGGAAACACGGTGACGAAAACATAGAGTGCAACTAGTGCTTGCTTTCTTTTTTCTCCCCCGGCAAAGTGGCACCCGCCAGTTCATGCCCCGCTGTTTGACATGTTGACAGCTACTGCGCAGCTGTTGTTTCGATGCTAGTGCAGATAGTTCTTGAGGTGTTTGATTTGACGGCGCTTGCCTAAATATGTATACACATATACATATACATATACATATATGTATACGTATACGTATACATATTCATGTACATATGTATGCCCAAAAACATATTTAGAAACATATGTACATATGAGTGCTCGTGTGTATGTATGTATGTATGTATGTATGTATGTATGTATGTCTGTCTGTCTGTCTGTCTGTCTGTCTGTCTGTCTGTCTGTCTGTCTGTCTGTCTGTCTGTCTGTCTGTCTGTCTGTCTGTCTGTCTGTCTGTCTGTCTGTCTGTCTGTCTGTCTGTCTGTCTGTCTGTCTGTCTGTGTGTGTGTGTATGTGTGTGTGTGTGTATGTATGTATGTATGTATGTATGTATGTATGTATGTATGTATGTATGGGTGTGTGTGTGTGGGCGCGCG